CCGAGCGATCCAATTAATTGAGTTAACATTCACCAAGGAAGTTTGAAATTTTTCAGTGATTATACCAAAATTCTCGTGAACCTGATGCTTTCTAATACATCTATGGTTGAATGCATGTCATATAGTCGAATAACCATCAACATCACATAACCACGTAATTTTCAGCACAGTTCTAGGGATAACACGGAAACCGTGCAAATCATATGCAAAACGAGTGCGCACTTACCGGTTAATCCGATCTCCAACGTGGTCTCATCCTTGTAATCCGTAGCACAGCTACTTTCTGTCCTAGCCGAACCACCACCGCCCTGCACTATTGCAGCTACCCGCTCGATCTCTTCGATATACTGCACTAGCAATTGATCAATGAACTTCTCAATTGCTCCCTTCAACAAAACAAGTCGCTCTCAAAATCCAAACTTTCCGTAAAAGTCTTTTCGTCATTCTCAATTGAGCAGTCGAATATTGGTGACTTGAGGACATGGCGACTGATACTTTGGTGAAAGCTCTTTTTCAGCGATAGTTTTTACTAGTTCGAGATCATACGGAATATATTAGGGGCTTCATAAACACGACTGATCTGTTCCACTGAGAAATTTGAAACATTGGATCGATTCATTTCAATAGTTTCCTTCTTAACACCGTTCTCGATGAGGTAGATTTATTCTCGAAACATTCATCCTTTGAAACAGTTTGTCATAAATGAGTAAGATTTTAGTGAGATGTTTTGCTGAATTCTTCTGAGAACGTGATCAATGAAATGATTACCTGAATAAGATTAATGCACATCGATAATAAGGCCAAACCAATCAAAATGAGAACAAAATTCACCAGCATCATGTCTTTATTCCCTGGCACTATATCACCCAAACCAACTGTGCTGCAAAATAAACAGTTATCATTCTTGCAGAATAAGTTCAATCGAACACTCTCCGTGGAACGAACTTTGACGGTTATACCAAATCAAATATCTTATTTCCCACTCTAGTTTTGACATATAAGTTTTTGTGGTCTGTATCTGTTGAGATCATATGGAATTTTCGCGAGCGCCATAATTATTGGTGAAATCAACGATATTGCTGCTGCTGCTTTCGAACCACTCCAGAAGATACCCATAAATTTAGTTCATTCACATACAGTATGCCACTGTGTATGAATGTAACCTTGACAAATACTCATACATTAAGCAAATGCATCACAATGCGTACTCACCTTATAGAAACAAAGAAAAAATAAACTGATGTTAAATAGCCCCATTCAGTTTCCCACAAACAGAAGAGGCCCGCCGAAACACCGATCCAGAGCACAAGCATCGACAACGCAATCGGAATCGGAAACGAATTCTCGCGACTCCTTCAAAAAGAAACCATTACAAATCCCACTCTGCCAATTGCAAAAATTCACACGACAGTGAGTGGCTTTGAAGTAGATAGCACCTGAATTTCCCAAAGATTCGGGCATATTTGCTAGAAAATTTTGGTTTATTTTTGGTTCGTCCAGACTACCAATATCACGTTTATTCATGAGGATTCCATTGTATAATAACTAAACGCAAATTTTGAGAACTGAAGAATGAATTGTTTTTGAGCTGTGGTGATATTTATGAACGATTGGTGCTGAAGAAAAGGTTGACGGCAACACGTACAATTTTTTATTGAGTTCATTCTGTTCGTTTGCGCCCAATTCAACGTCCATCGACGCCAACTTCTTATGATCTGGCCCCAAACTGTTTGCTAACGAATAGGCAGATGTGTAAAGTGCCTTCAAGATAATTACTTGATTTTCGTTAAATGAAACTCAAATTTGAAGATAGTTGAAATAGAAATCGAAACGAAAATCTTTTCGGTGATCAACTGACATCACAATTCACATAAGGATGATGAAAGAAAAATTAGCAATAAGAAAATTTCGAAGACCATTCTGCCCTCACTGAAGATTTCACCCCAAATTGATGCTAGAATTAGCACAATGAACAAATATGGACATATGGATTACCTTAACAGGCATACTTAAACTGGCTAAACGCTTTGATGGTAGTTTATTACGGGCCGTACGAAGGCGTTTGTAGAACTTTCGTAACGCTCGTGACAGCAGGCGACCCACTTCCTTCAGAATGATCAAGAATATGGGAATACCCAACATTATATAGAATATACTCGCGATTTGTCCAGCACGAGTTTTGGCCACAGGCAATCCATAACCTGAAGTACATTTGCAATCAACGTTGCAAAATACGGAACAGAGCTTTCCGAACAATGACACTTTTGATCGAAGCAACGTCGGAATGCACAAGCATGAGTTCTCAAAGTAGACGTGAGCCTTACCATAGCTCGCTAGATCCCTTGAAGTCACATACCCTAAACGCTTCAAGTGGTCCAAGATCACCGTTCAAGACGTGCTCTCATTCTAACCCAAAAGCAGTCAAGCAGTTAAAGTTGTATGGTCTTCCTCTCCATATGACCAATCTGATATACCCATCAAACCGAAGCGGTCATGTTTTGCAGAATGTGCTCTCAAAGATACCTAATTAAAAAGTTATTTGTAAATGCCAGAACGGATTCAACACGATCCAAAAACCGAACGACCAATTCAAATTCGTTCCCTATTCACGAGCTGATGAGTTCCTTGGATGGAAACTTGGATTCGAGTTTATTTATATTCTATCAATAACCGGTGTAATTACCCGAACTGGTGCGGAAAACGAACCGATGGTGGTATAAAGTTGTCCGGCATAAAACATCGAACCGTACCACGACCAAGGACTTGGATCGTTACGCTCTTGAAGCACACTGGTCAGATTCAAATAGTCCATAAACCATTGAATCGCTTCACGCGTATGATGCATTTGCAATTGTTTATCAATCCTTATCACTGTGTCATAGCAACGAATCTCTAGCATTCGTTGTAAAACCTTCAATGAGAAGCTCATCGCCATTGAATCGTGACCATGCCAACAAAAATATCCGTGACCGGACAGTCTGCTTGAAGACATTTTGCCTAAGGACAGTTTGCCTAATGCAGTTTGCCTAATAGCAATTGACATCAAGGAAAATTGCTATTAGGCAAACTCCATTAGGCGAACTGTCCGTTAGGCGAACTATCCGTTAGGCAATGTGTCTTTAGGCAAAACGTCTTTAGGCAGATTGTCCGGGTACCAAAATATCGACACTCTCAATACTGTCGTCATTGAACAACACTGATAGTTAATTAAATGATAATGATGTCAATAATGATAACCCGATTCCACATCAAAATTGGGATCGCAGTTGCTCCGTTCTAATGATATAATGGAATCTATTCTATTTCGTAGCTATCAAAGGAACTAGTCTATTATAACGCCATTCTGTATGTTAGAATCAC